TTTTTTTTTTTTTTTTTGAGGGAAAAACACTTGAGGGAGCAGTGTGAATGGGTGGGAAGAACCCAGTAGGACAGCAGAGGCTTCTGTAGGCAGCAATGCTAAATGCCCCCCTGTCCAAGGCTAGATTGGGTGACTGAGACAGCTGCCACAGCCTGGGATGGTGTAAGAGTAACAGAGCAGTAAGCAAAAAGGAAGGCTCTAATTCTGCCTTTGCCATGTGGCTATAAATAAACTACACTAAGATTTCACAAGTGCTTTTGTTATGTGAGGCTTATGTACATGCATAGAAACTGCTCAAAGAGGTAACCTAAAAATAGTTAGAAAACTTACTGTACCATATGCCAAGTCTGTTCCTTAAAATGTTATTGGGTGTACTTAAAATTCTTTTAAAAATTATATTTCAACCTTTATATTTAATTCTGAATCATTGTCTATCCCAAGTTTTAAAACTACCAATAACCTTCCATAATAAAAAATTGCAGATACAGTTCTATGGGGATCACAATACTAAATTTCATCTATAAAATTCAAGATACTATGATTCGATTGGTAATAAGTAATTAACTCTTAAAACTTGTTTTGAAGTGGGATTTGAACTCAGGGCTGTGCATGTACAAGACAGGTGCCCGTTTTGCTCAGGTTATTTTTGAGATAGGGTCTCATTCTTTCTTCAGGCCAGCCTGTATTGCAATTCTCCTACTTTGGGCTTCCCACCATAGCTGGGATGACAGGCACAATCCACCATGCTTAGCTTTTTTCTGTTGAGGTGGGGTCTTGCCACCTTTTTTACCCAGACTGGCCTAGAACTGTGATCCTTCCAGTTTCAGCCTCCAATGTAGCTCAGAGTACAGGTGGGAGCCACCAGTGACTGGCTTAAAACTTCCTTTTTGTGTCCCTTAATAGAAATAAAGCAGAATAATCACTGTACTATTTACATTAGTGTCTATGACTGCAGAATTATCTTCCTTAAGTCAGTAAGTTTTACTTGCATAAGCACACTGTAGAGGAAAATACTTTTAACAGTGTATATTTCTTCCATGCTATTTAGAAATTTGGTAGTATTTAAAAATTTTTTTTAACAAGGACAGCAGAGTACAGACTTTGAATTTATTCTCGGACATGGTACTTTTTAATTGATGCTCTTAAGCAAGTTATTTGTTTTGTTATAGTCTATTTCTCATCTATACATTGGGAATAATACCTACTGTACATTCTTGAAAATTAAATGAGATCATATCTATAATATATATGGTAATAGTTAATAGTGGTAACTATTGTTAACTTGTTTTATGAACCCCCTTAATTTTATCTGAATTATCCAATTTAATAAATGTATAGATACTCTGCATTATATATATATTTGCTCATTTAATTATGTTATAAAGTTTATATCATAAAACAGTAAATTCATTCTTGTTAATTTTACTTAACATTCTGTTAAGTCTATTTAGAGATCAAAAGGAAAGAATTATATATCTTTATTTCAAGTTATGCCTAAAATCAAAGTGTATTTTCATTTTTTGGAAATAGGGTACCTTACTGGGCATGGTGGTACATGTCTATAATCCTAGCACTTGGAGGCAGGGTAGGAGGGTTGTGAGTTTAAGGCCAGCCTGAGCTACATAGCAAGATCTTATGTCAGAAAAAAAAAAGGTGGCTTTAAGTGAGAGATGATACACATATCAAACTAGAGTTTGTGCTTATTAACTAAAAATGATGTATGTAACTGATTTTGTTGATTTTATATGCTACTTGTAAATACATACATTCTTCATATTTTATTTATTTTGATACATATATACCTATATATACTAGTTTCTGTTGATATACTAACTCCAAGGTATAGCACTCAGTTTTATCACACTGTTGTATAATAATTTATATAATAAAAAGTTACTCTAATATCCTGTTTTTTAAAGTAAGGAAATTCCGTTGTTTTAAAATTAAGTAATAGCCAAGTTTAATTTGTTGGTTCCTTTCCAGTAACCAGCAGAGGTGTCATCGTCTGACAGTCTGTTAGAATTGCAGAACTTCAGGTGTTTTAATTACTGAATCCATGAGCATTTTGTTAGGGTCCCTAGATCCTTGGTCTGTGTATTGAAAAGCACTGCTATACAACATGTGTTTCTTCCAGGCACTGGTGGCTCATGCCTGTAATCCTAGCTGCTTTGCAGGCAGAGATCAGGAGGATCACAGTTCAAAGCCAGGCCCTGCAAATAGTTCACAAGACCCTTATTTCAAAATATCCTAATTCAAAATAGGACTGGAATGTGGCTCAAATGCTAGAATACCTGCCCAGCAAGCATGAGACCCTGAGTTCAAATCCCAGTACCACCAAAAAAAAATGTGTCTTTGACTTCTGTTAAAGTTTTGCTATATGTTAACTGTGCGACTTTGACCAAGTTTGATACCTGTGGGCTCTGGCTTCATCTTTTAAAGAATAAAATAGAATTACTGTGTGCAAGCTGAGTGATTGTTATGAGGATCAAATGAAGTAATGTGCGAAAACATCTTTTAGGTCATGTAAATGAGGCTTATTGACACTATGCATATAAATTGCTTTGGCTCAGTTTGTTCATACTACAGCTACATAATCCTTTGATGATATGTAATTAAATTCATTTAGACTGTTATGTTAAACTCATTTATTCAAATATGCAGACAGTAATATAGAATTTTTTTACACTCAGTTTGAGTAAAAAATGGTCAAATATGTATTCTTTTGGAATACTTATGATTGAGTTTGACTGTGGAATAAGTAATTATGTATTTTTAAATTATTACAATTACAGTAATACAGATGAGAAAGAACTGTAAGTCACACATGATCCTTTCTTACTGGGGACAAAGAATAACTTTATAATTGTCCAGAAGTTGTTTGTTGCAGTTCTCAAGTTATAAAATACAGTGCTCTAAAAATATTTATTTATTTGTTTGTTTGTTTATTTATGTGAGATGGGTGTCTCACTAAGTTGAACTCCTGAACTCAAGCAGTCCTGCCTTGGCCTCCCAAGTAGCTGGGACTTCAGGCTTACTACACCCAACTGTAAAAATCTTGTGAACTGTACATCTCAGGCCTTGTAGCACATTTTCTTTTAGCATGGTCTACAACAGACTTTGAAGATTTTGTAATATGCTATCTTTAATTTTTAGGCAAAAGAAAAACAGAATGCAAAGAAAGCTCAGGAGACCAAATGAAAAGGACGATTCGAGATGTGTACACTGCTTCTACACCTGTTTCCATGGAAACCATTAAGTATAAGGAACTCTGAGCAACATCCTAATTGAGTCAGTGCCTGTTCAGCAACAGTCCCAGTCTGTCTTGTCTTTAATGCATGGGTTCAAAACCTTCCCTACTGCGTCCTCTGCATGTGCTGCAGGTTAAATAAACTGATGTGAAGAGCGCACGTCCAAATCCCATCATTTCACACTGGGTCTGAGAACTTCCCTTTGTACTCTGGATATATAGAATTGCAGTATTGAACCTAGAAAATGCACAAAGGATATTCTCTACTTGTAATTATTCTTTTTATTTGTTGTCTTAAATACTTTAAATTTATAAATGACACAGTTAAACTGGATCTTGTTTCCTATCACTAACAGAAAAAAATCATTTCTGTCTTTGATATGTATTTTAAGAATCTTAAAACTGAATTTTATCTCATCCCGATTTGATTTTCATGTAGATGATTCAAAAAGAACAAAAATACAATTTCTTGTGATTTTTACTACTGCCAGTAGGAAAGGTAATAAACATCCCAATTTTTTACGGCCATCAGTCCTCAAGTATTTGGGATAATTTGTATATGTGTTGCAGAATGATTCTAGGAAGGTCTAAATGCTTCAAAACAAAATTTCAGGTTAAGAACACATTGGCAACCTTTTTTCAAACTGTTAATATGTTTATTAAAAACCATCTTTAAGAAAAGACAGCAGTTGTAGGATAGGAACTTTCTGTGCCCATTTGAGCAAAATTGGTACAGTCCACAGTTCCCCCTGAGCCACATGGAGTTCACATTGCTTACAATGATTTTTTTTTTAGACTTTGAGAGTGCTTTGATTTTTATTTTATAAATAAGGTAGTACTGTACTGTATTGTACTGTACTATGTTCTTGCTCTTAATTTTCTTTTCCGAGTTAAGCTTTAAAGGAAATTTTACAAAACTTTTTTATAAAGGAAATAACCTTTTTTTCTTTACCATGCACATTTTAAGTTGATACATTACTTTTTAACATTTTATTTTAATTATAAAATAAATTTTGGATAATTTATTAGATGGAATGAGTACCCATCTTCCCGCTTCAATCAATGAATTTTTTAGGGTTGATTTAAAGCTTACTAATTGTGGTATTATTAAATGACTTAGACCTAAGGGAGGGAACATGGGACAAAATTAAGTAGAAAAACTAATGAAGTATATTTCATACATAATTTCAGTTGAATGAAATGAGAAGAATATGTAGCTTTTCAGTTGCTCATGGGTAAATATATTATGCTCTTACACAATAGTGATTATAGAGTGTCTCAAAGCTGTGATGCAATTGTAAATTTTAATTTAAAAATGGTTTCCTAAGGATTGTCTTAGACTCATCTTGATTGCATGTCTATGCCTTATTTTATTGAGGCTTAAATTTTATAAAGCAATAAAACATAAGGGTTATTGTAGAGAGTCATCCAACAATGAGATCATTCAGTGGAATGGAAGAGAGAACCTAGAAATAGATTCATATTTATCTGGTCACTTGATTTCTGTCAAAAAAGGTAGAGAAGGCCAACAGGGAAGGAAAGTCTTTGAACAAATGGAGCCAGAGTACAGCAGCAGAACATCCACCTGAGGAAAGAGAGCCTTGGCCCTACCTCACAAAAATGAATCCAGCTGCATTATAGCACCAAATGCCATATCTAACAAGTATTAAAGAACTTTTCCTAAAGGGAAGTAAATATCTTTGTGACTTTCTTAAGTCACAGAAAGCAATAACAATAAAAGATTCAAAATTAGTTATCAAAATTAAAAACTTGCCATTGAAAAATGTTAACAAGAGTAACTAGTATCAAATGACATTTAAAAAACAGCTTTATAAAACTAGCTTAATAGTTGTAAGGATTTGTTTTATTAATCTAATTCTGATAAAATTCCTTGATAAGAATTTCCAGTTTGAGAATGGTTTATTTTATCTGCTTCTTTGATCATTACTAATGCATTGTGACTCTTCATGGTTGTTTCTGCTTGTGAATAAAGACATATCACTTGTTCTTGTCTTGTTCCATATATTGCTGATTTGAAACTAAGTCTTGAAGCTGATGGGTAGAAAAAGAAGACTAGAGAGCTACCCAGAAATAGATAAATGTTAGTTATGTGGATCTTTTAAAGGAATAGTTCAAAAGAATTCTCTCTGTCCCTCCCTCTCTCCCTCCCTCTCTCTCTCCTTCCCTTCTTCCCTTCCTCCCTCCCTCCCTCCTCTTAACTCAGGGCCTCACACTTGCTAGGCAGGCACTCTGCCGCTTGAGCTACTGGGCCAGCATGGAAATCTCCTCTCTTTCTTTTACTTCAGTTTGCCTTTTCTAAAATCTCATATAATGACCAGGCAGGTGAGGCTCTTGCATTCTACTTTATGCTTTTTGAAATAGCCAGTTCTAAGAATGTACTTCTGCTATTATAAACAAGAAAACTTGCCAACAGCTATAGTGCTGGCTAGTCTCACCTCGTGCATTTGGTTCCCAAGACAGCTGACCTTTGTCTAGGAGAGATCAGCTCAGCCAGGCCACTAGAATAGACACATATTTGCTTTGGGTCATGACTACTGGGACATTTCTCCATTTGTAGTACTATGATACGTAGTTCTGTATTAGGTGCTACATGCAAATTCATACCTTTAGATAATCCTAGTTGCCTATAGCACTTCAAAATACAATTTTTTTTTCCTATAGGAAGACTTTCTTTTGTCTGACAAAAAGGGGGGTCTTTAAGTATTCCTTGCCCAAAAAATCTTTAGAGAGAACATAAACAAAAATTTACACTACCTATAGTTCTATCAAGAGGGATGGTCATGGAAAGTGTTAGTACATTTAGTGACTTTCCCTATGCACATTTGCTGGGCAGGTGCTCTACCACGTGAGCTGCACCACTAGTCTTTACACCTGTGTTTTTGTATGTTAGGTTTGCATGCTCTCCCCATACTCTTATTAATTATATTTATGTGATACAGACTATTTTTAAACAATGTACGCAATTTTTCATTTTTGTGTAAGGACTTACAGGAATTAAATCACACCAGCTATTTGAGAGGAATGATTGACATTAGGAATTTTGAAACTACCTTGTAGTTCCTTGTAAGTCCTTGGAAGGTTTAGAGGAGTGGACTCCAGAAATGACTACAGCAAAATATGTCGTATTGGCCCTCCAACACCAGCAGCAGTGTGGCTTGCCATGGGAGGTCCTGAGGTGAGAACATGCTGTGATAGCTTTGTTCCAGGAGCGGGGAACCTGCACCTGCCTGGGGCACACAGTGTGCACTGGAATACGGCGAAGTGCCCCTCCATGGAGAAACGCACTGCTTAAAAATAGCTGAAGAAGCTGGGCGCCAGTGCTCACGCCTGTAATCCTAGCTACTCAGGAGGCACAGATTAGGAGGGTCACGGTTTGAAGCCAGCCCAGGTAAATAGTTTGTGGGACCCTATCTCGAAAATACCCAGCACAAAAAAGGGCTGGTGGAGTGGCTCGAGGTGTAGGCACTGAGTTCAAACCACAAGACCACCAAAAAAAAAAAAAATAGCTGAAGTAACAAATGGCCTCTTTCACATCTTTTTTTTTTTTTTTTTTTGGTGGAACTGGATTTGAAATCAAACTTCACACTTACAAAGCAGACACTTGGCCAGTTGAACCACATCTCCAGTCCATTTTGCTCTGGTTATTTTGGAGATGGGGGGTCTGGTGAACTATTTGCCCAGGCTGGCCTTGAACCAAGATCCTCTTGATCTCAGCCTCCCATGTAGAGAATTTCAGATGGCAGGGAGCCCCTACAGTGCAGGGCACAACCTTCCTGGCAAGGAGCAAGTCCCGTTGCCTGACAGTCGCCACAGAAACAGAGCACTGAGCCCATAGCTGGTACAGTGCTCAGCCTCCAGGTCCTGCCTTCTGGGTGTGTATGTGTTGGCTGCACGTTGGCCACCAGGTGGGTCTGAGAACCCCAAGCCCAGATCTCCAGACTATTCTCAGGGTATGAAAATGCTGAGGCCCACTCCAGAAACTGGACCTCAGCATGAGTTTGCTGCCAGGTGGGGCCTCCCCCAGAGAGGGGGACTGCTGGACTGAAAGCACTGAGGCCAGTAGGTAAGAGTGCATCAGTGAGTGCCTCAGTTTCCCCTGGCCAGTGCAAAACTCAATGCTCTATTTTCATTCTGCAGTGCATTTGGAGACACCCCTAGGTATAGACATTTCCTGCCACTGGGACACAAAGTGGAGGGCTATGGAGCAAGTGGGAACCTTCCCGGCCCACAGGCTGTAAAGCTGTGTCCAGCAGTGGCTCCCAGTGTACAAAAGGGAGGCTTCTTAGTGAAAGCAGGCTAGAGGCAGACACCCAGCCCATCTACAAGAGACGCCTAGTTTTCCTCAACCTGAGCCATGCTGAGCAGCTCTGGGGATCAGGCTTGGTGCCCTGAACACATGGGTGAGTCCTTAGCTACTCAGCCACACCACAGTCCATCGGTGAGAAGTAGCACCTTCACTCAACCCTGCCACCACACTGTCCTGCCTGAGCATTGCGTACCCTTCAACTGAAAGACTACAGGTGACTAAAAGGTGCACACCCCTCCAAAATGACTCCACAGTAACAACCACTGTTAGTGAACTGGATGAAATCTCAAAGGGTTTTACAAAATTGGTTTGTGAGAATGATCAACATTAAAGAACACATAGACGCCTGAGTGAATTCCACGTGAAAGAGCTTGAGAAATAAAGACAGCGCAGGGCATCAAAGAGGAAGTCAACAAAGATGCAGAAATCCTGGGGTGGGGGGACGGAATCAAAATTCTGGAAAGGAGAAAATAAGTCAAATAAAAGACACAGTCGAAAGCCTCTGTAGTAGGTTCGATCAAACTGAAAACAGGACTTGAAAGTCAGGGCTCAAAGACAAAAAATAATTAAAAATAGGAACAGAGCATACAAGTCCTTTGGGTCTTTCTTTTATGGATAAAGAAAATGTGGCTTATACACAATGGAGTATTATTCACTCATAAAGAAGAATAAAATTATTCCATTTGCAGGAAAATGGATGGAACTGTAAATCATGTTAATCAAAATAAGCCAGACTAAGAAAGACAAATAAATATGTTCCTTCTCAAATGCAGAGTTGAGACAAAAAAAAAAAATGTTGAGAGTCAGTGGGAGGGGAAGGCAAAAAGGAGAGAGTGAAGGAGAGAGAATGACTGAAATATTTTACAAGCACAAGTGAAAATAGAATAACGAGACCGGTTAGCAGTTGCTTTGAAAGGGGAGAGGGGGAGAAGAAAGTAACGGTGAACTGATCACGGAATGTTACACGCACATGGCACAATCACACGAAACCCCTTTGGACAATGCATATACACTAATAAAAATCTTGTCGTGTGTGATAAAATATGTGATATGTAAGAAATATTAAGGTCTAATATAGACTATTAAAAGGAGAGGTGGGGAAAAGGAAATTAGCAATGATGCAGTCACGCATGTCACAGAAAAATGTAAATGGCCCCTAACATGAAAGATGGGAAATTCACCAACGATGAAGATGTAAATTAAAATAATAAAGGGGTGCCTTCTCCCTTTTCCTCTTTCTACCTCCCTCCTCCTCCTCTCTGTCCTTCCCACTTTCCTCCCTCCCTCCACCCCTTCCTCCTTTTTTCTTTCACGTTCTCTTGTGATGCTCACCTGTCCACCTCCTTTCCACACTTGCACCCTTCTTCCCATGTGAATGATTTTTAGAGGTGAAAATGGCATTGCAGACAGAACTGTGCAATGGGGCGCTCATGTGATAAACTCTGGATTTATTAGAAGCTTTATGGGGCCATCGATGACTGTGGCTGAGTTAGGAGGGCATCTGCAGAGTGGATGAGCCATGAGCTCCAGGTCCAAAGGCTTCTGGAGCGCTGGGAGTTAAGATTTTGATCGGAGGCTAGTGAGCTGTCCAGGTTGGGTCTTCCTGGCACTGATCCCCAGCGAGGCTACCAAGGTGTAACTTCTGACCTTTCAGCATCTTATGTGAGTACAGGTTAAAGTGGCAAGGACTTCAGATGGTTAAAACAACTGAAATAAAACTTGCAGGAGAATAATGGACACGAAAAATACAATTTATTAATTTATAATTGTAACTACCAGCAGACCAGGCATTCCTATCAACCTATCCGCACATTTTCTCCCTGGAAGATAAACTTAGCAAGGGAATCAAATTAAGATCAGAAGATTGGTGGACTCTTAAAAAAGGGCTGAAAGATTTAAGGGATATTGGCTGGAATAGCCTGTGACATGTTTTGCCATCCTAGACACCAACAAAACCTGCCATCTCCATGACACACCTTGTTTATGGCGTTACTTCACTGGGCCAGGTATAGTGGTACATGTCTGTAATCCCAGATACTCAGGAGGTGGAGACAGGACGACTCTGGGCTTAGCTGGCCAAGGCAAGAGCAGCAGACACTATCCGAAAAATAACTAAAGCAAAAAGGCTGGAAGTGTGGCTCCAGTGGTAGAGCACTTGCCTTGCAAGCACAAGAACCTGAGTTCAAACTTGGGTATTGCCAAAAAAAAAACAAAAAAACAAAAATCAGTGCACCCTTGTCTTACTCATGGCTAGAGACAGAATGACAAAAATTTAAATTCCATAATCACTTTTCTCGTTGACATCTTCCACATCAACAAATGTTTTCAAATGAGTTGTAATTCAAATTACCTGTATTTTCTTTTAACTTTCACCTAGCATTTTAGTGACAACCAAAGAGGCGCCTTACTCCAGTTTCACAAACTCTCCAGATCAGTGTTATTTCCTGTAACCTGTGTGACATCTACTGCTGAAGAATCATTGTTTCTACTCCACCATTGACAGTACAACCTTTCTTAATATCTTATTCCTGATGATGTGAGTCTAATGTAAACGTCTGGACTGCTCTGCTCACTTATTACAATGGGAAGGTTGTTTCTTGGCGCACGCACACACAGGATTATCGCTACCAGGGTGAGTGTGTTGGGTGATGTTACAGTTCCTCTTTCAGACTGCAGGCAGAAATTGACTTGAAGCATCATTTAGTTTTTTAAAAAATGGCATGCATGCTAAACAATGTTCCCGTGCCATTCCCCGAGTAACAATGAGTAGAGGCCACTCCAGCCTCTACTGTCATGCTATGAACTCTACTTTCTTGGAGTTGGTTCAGTTGAGACACTACTTTGCTGACTATTTCATTCTCATTTGTAACCACCTGTTGCACTATGCTGACAGAGACCTGGGATCCTAGTCCTGCTTGCTATCAGCTAGAGTATGCTCTTGGCTGATATTTTGTATCTGCTGAAAGTACTTTGTCCTTTGTTGTGGATTTCAGGTTAGAGCTTATAGAGCAAACCAAAGGCTTTCACATCTGTGTATCTGATTAAACCTTTAAACAAATATTGCTGCATTAAATCTGCCTTCTATAACTCTCTCTCTCTCTCTCTCTCTCTCTCTCCCCTCTCT